CCACTTCCTGCTGTCCCCTCTTCCTCCTGCTCCTCCCGCTCTCGGGAGCGCGAGGAGCAGGAGCAGGAGGAGGATGAGGACGAGGAGGAGGATGAGGAGGAGGAGGAGGAGGAGGAGGAGGAGGAGGAGGAGGAGGAGGACCAGTAGGAGGAGTAGGCGGAGGAGGACAAGGAGGACAAGGAGGACAAGGCGGAGGACGAGGAGGACGACGAGGAGGGTGAGGAGGAGGAGGAGGAGGAGGAGGAGGAGGAGGAGGAGGAGGAGGAGGAGGAGGAGGAGGATGAGGAGGAGGAGGAGGAGGAGGAGGACGAGATCGTCGTCGTCGTCGTCGTGATCGTCGTGATCAAGTTACTGGCGCAGCTCGTGCGGCCGCGGGGAGCCACACAGCAGCGCACGTGGTAGTGCAGACTGCGCAATTACGCGGAGAAGCCGAAGACCAAGAAACCCTCTGTCTACGTACCCCCTCCCACCTCCACTGCACTGCACCAGCCTCTCTCCCTGCCATTGCCCCAACGCCCTCCCGTTCTCCCTCCTGCGTCCCTCTCCCTCTCCCTCTCCCCCTCTCCGTCTCTGTCTCTGTCTCCGTCTCCGTCTTTGTCTCCTTCTCCTTTTCCGTTTCCGTCTCCGTCTCCGTCTCCGCCTGTCTCTGCCTCCGTCTCCATCTCCGTCTCCGTCTCCGTCTCCGTCTCCGTCTCCATCTCCATCGTCGTCTCCGTCTCTGTCTCCGTCTCCGTTTCGGTATCTGTCTTTGTCTCCGTCGCCGTCTCCGTCTCCGTCTCTGTCTCTGTCTCCGTCTCCGTCTCCGTCTCCGTCTCCGTCTCGGTCTCTGTCTCCGTCTCCGTCTCCGTTTCCGTCTCCGTCTTCGTCCCCGTCTCTGCCTTTCTGCCCGCCTGCCTGCCTGCCTGCCCGTCTGTCTGTCTGCCTGTCTGTCTTTGTCTTTGTCTGTCTGTCTGTCTGCCTGCCTGCCTGTCTGTCTGTCTGTCTGTCTGTCTGTCTGTCTGTCTCTGTGTCTGTCTGTCTGTCTGTCTGTCTGTCTGTCTGTCTGTCTGTCTGTCTGTCTGTCTGTCTGTCTGTCTGTCTGTCTGTCTGTCTGTCTGTCTGTCTCTTTATGTACACAGACATGTGTAACTTTGCCATTCTGCATTGCACTCCCTTTCCCCTGCTCATCCCCCCCCTCTCCCTACCTCTTTCCCCCCCGCCCCTCCCCCTGTCAACTTCTCCCTTTCCGCTTCTCTTCTCTCTCTCTCTCTTCCCCCTCGCCCTGCCCCCCCTTCTCTCGCTGTCTTTCCCCTTTCTCCTCTTCTCCCCTTGCCTCGTTCCCCGCTTTCCCCCTTTCCCCCCCGTCCCCCGTTCCCCTCGTACCCTCCCCCTTTGCCTCCATTCTCTCCCCTGTTCGCTGTTTCCTTCTCCTCTTTCCCCTTCCCCCGTCGCGCCCGCGCCGATGGTGGACGCGAGGCCAAGCAGGTGGCCATAGACGAGTTGCCTTACCTGACGAAGTCGTCGGACGACTGGCCGTGGAGCAGGACTCGAGGTCGGAAGAGCAACGTCCACGAGGCCAGCGTCGCCCTCGTAGAATTTCTCCCCTCTCCTCCTCCTTCTCCTCCTCCTCCTCTTCCTCCTCCTCCTCCTCCTCCTCGTCCTCCTCCTCTCGTTCTCCTCCTCCTTCTCCTCCTGCTCCTCCTCCTTCTCCTCCTCCTCCTCTTCCTCCTCCTCCTCTTCCTCCTCCTCCTCCTCCCTTCCGTGCTCCTTCCTCCCCCCATCCCCCCCTGTCCTCCTCCCTTCGCACCCCCCGCCGGAGTGGCGTGCGCGCCGACGCAGGACAGGCCCGGTCGGCTCCAGCGTGCGATCGTGCTACTCGCCCCCGACTGTGCCTTCTCTCCGAGCAGCCCCGCGCCTTCCCCTCCGAGGCGTGGCACGGCCACGCTGCCTGCCGCCCGCTGCCGCGTGCCTCGCCCTGCCCAGCCCGTCACGTGCACGGCCCGTGCGCCACGGCCGCGGCTGCGAGGGCTGCGACGCGACCCGCCGCCGCGCGCGCCGCGCCGCTGCCCACGGGCGCCAGAGGAGGAGGAGGAGGAAGAGGGGGAGGAGGAGGAGGAGGAGGAGGAGGGGGAGGAGGAGGAGGAGGCGGAGGAGGAGGAGGAGGCGGAGGAGGAGGAGGAGGAGGAGGCGGAAGGAGGGGAGGAGGAGGGGGAGGAGGAGGAGGAGGAGGAGGAGGAGGTGGATGGAGGAGAAGGAGGAGGAGGAGGAGGCGGAGGAGGAGGAGGAGGAGGAGGATCCTGCCTGCCCGCGGTGCGCGCCGCGCTGCTGCTGCGCGCAGGGCGCCCGACCCCGACGCGGAGCCCCGCGGCGCCGCGGCGCCTGCCCCGCGCGGGCCCCCCACGCCCAGCGCCCGCGGGCGCTGAGGCGCCCTGTTGGGGCTCGGCGCGATGGGCGCTCTCTCCGCCCGCGCTCGGCGCGATGGGCGCTCGTCGCGATGGGCGCTCGGCGCGGTTTGGGCCGCTGCCCTCCGCCTTCTCGCGTGCCCGGGCTCGCGTCGGGCCCGTCCCTCTACAGGGGGAATATCCAAAAATAGTGTGTGTATATATAATATAAAAAGTTTGGAGTATTTATTGCGTATTTTTTAAAAATTCTGTCGTCGACAATCCCCCAGGAGGGGGACACGCCCGACTTGAGCCTGGGCTTCTGCGGCCGCCCTCTTCCGCCATCCCCCTCCCGCTGCCGCAGCCACAGGGTGCCTGCGTAGGATGTGCGCCGTTCGAGTGCTGCCGGCGCCCCGGCGCCACTGCCCAGCCCCGCGTGGGGCCGCCCCCCTGGGACGACATGGGCGCAGCCTCAGCCTGAGCCCCAGCCTCTCCCGCTGCCAGCTACTCCAGATTCCGTAAAAAAGGGAGGGGGGTCTCATTTCGGGGGGGGGTCTCTTCCAGGCTATCTTGGAGGGCCTGGGGGGTCTGGGGACAATGGTTTCGTGACGTGTACAGTCGAGGCGTTGACCTAAGGAACCCTAAATAAGGAACGAGGCCCCTTTTCTCCATAAGTTAAACTTCGACTTCCCGTCGACAACTGAAGGAAAACCTCAGGCAAGGTGTGGACCAATTAAGGAACACCGAGCCCCTCCCCAACGCAAAGGGTTCCTTCTTCAGCGCCCCGACTGTACTGGGGGACGCCCACCCCCGCCCCGTTCCACTGACTGGAGCTGCCGTCACCCGAAAAAACACCAGCTACGGCAGACCTGGTTTAAGGATGCTGGCCAGTTCAAGGGCTCCAGGGCCCTACCACTGACCGGGTCCCCTTAACTGGGGTCCTGGCTATAACCGACAGACCCCTGGGGGTCGACATTGTGAACAGATCGCGGTGTCGGGGGCCTGGGCCGGGGGCAGGGGCGCGGCGCCGCGGGCCGGGCAGCCGGCGGACGCCTTGAAGTTGCGGAGGTCTTGGCGCGCGAGGGGCGCGGCTGGGCGAGCGCGCTCCACGACCCGCACTGGCCATCGCTCGGACGTCCATTCCCTGTGTTTTTGTTCGGCTTCGTGCGTGGCTGTTTCGCCAAATGCTTACTTCAGCTTTCGTAATAAAAGGGAGGGGGTCTCATTTCGGGGGGGGTCTCTTCCAGGCTGTCTTGGAGGGCCTGGGGGGTCTGGGGACAATGTTTTGGAGGGTTCTCCCACGGGGGAGCTCTGAAATGGCTTGTCTTGGAGGGTCCAGACCCCCTCCCTTTCATTACGAAACCTGGAGCAAGCAGTCTTCACGCCGCGCGCCCGGGGCTGCTCGAGCGCGCGAGCGGAGGGCCTCTGCCGCGCTACGGCTTTTGCCTGTGTCTGGGCTGCCCGCCTCCTCCTCCGCGGCCGCCCTCTGCTTTGCCACCTCCCTCCTCTCTCTCTCTCCCCTCCCGCCACCTCTCTCTCTCTTCTCCTCCTCTCTCTCCTCCTCATCCTCATCCTCATCCTCCTCTTCCTCATCCTCATCCTCCTCTTCCTCCTCCTCTCTCTCCTCCTCCTCCTCTGGGCCGCTCGCGCCCGCGCCCGGCACGCCCTGCCGCTGGCGACCCCCGCGCCCGCGCCGGCGGGCGCCGCCGACCAGGAACGTCTGGGCCTCCGCCGCCCCGCCCTCCCCAGAAGGACCCCTAAGAGACCTGGGCGTTACGATCTCTTGGCGCTGGGCGCTTCCGCCTCCTCCTCCTCCTCCTCCTCCTCCTCCTCCTCCTCCTCCTCCTCCTCCTCCTCCCCCCCTCCCCCGCTCCCTTTCTGGGCTTCGGGCTCCAGGATCGTCACAGACCGATCCAGCTAGCAACGCGCCGCAGAAAGATGGGGTCCATGGGGCCCGGTCGTGATCGGACGGGGCCAGGGCGACGAGAAGTCCGTCCCAGAGCGTTCTCCGGAACGCCCTCCGAGCCTTCGCGGCGCTCCGAGAGGGCCGCGGCGCTCGAGGCATCCTCCAGAAGCGCGGGGATCTCAGAGAGTCTCGATTCATCCTTGCCCTACTTTATCCTCGTCGTGGCTTCGTTTTGGTCTAGGAGGCTGGTCGTGATTTGTCAGCGGTGGGTTAAAGGGCGTTTTGCTGCGGCCCTGACCCTTCGAGTGGCGCTCGGCGGCTCCTGGCTCCCTTGCTGTCCTCGTGTGCGCAATGCGGCGTTATTGGGGGGCGGCCTCCCTTTCTGCTCCAGGAGCTGGCAACTGGCACCGATGCCCATGCGACCATGCGGTCCCTAGACTTCTCGGGGCGGAATTCCGTGGGGGCGACGGGTGCGTGTGTGTGTGTGTGTGTTGTTTAGTCGTTGGGTCTCCTGGGTTGGTCTCCTTGCGTTTGCCACCGCCGAGTTCCGTCCCGCATGTGATGCGTTTTTTCAGGTTCGTCCCGTAGGCTCCACAGCTGTGCCTTCCGCGAGCCTCGCGGCGCTTTCCGCGTCTTGTCCGAGACGTCCCTGGTCGACTTGGTGGCGACCTAGATGTCGGTGCGTACAGTGCACCTCGCGTTTTTATCTATGCTGCTTGAGCGGTACCCTACCAATCTATTTCGGTCGGCGTCTCTATATATTGCAGCCTGTTTTCGGCCAGCCTGGACGTGTCACTGGCACTGGCTTCTTTTGGTGGCGTGGCTACCCACCAAGGATTTTACGGCATGGAGCTGGGTTGAGTTTCATACCGCATGTGCGTCTCCACATGTACTGCGCGTCCGTCACCACCAACCTTCGCTGTCACAGCGTCAATTTTCTGAGACGCTTATTTTATGTTCGGGTCGCGCTGTATGATGCTGCCGTGCTTTGTAGCTTAAGCACTTCATCCTTGCTTGCAAATGCATCTTGCGTCGCCAGTTCGTAGGTTCGCACCCCTGCCCATCAGTCTCGCCAGGGCAGAGCTTTCTCTGCGCTTCCCCACCCATCGGCTGGTCTGGCAGCTTTACAGGTCTTCGTCTCCACTGTCTAACATGTCTGTGATGATTTAGTGACACCAAGTCGCACCATACTTCTGGCGTTTCAACCTACTTGCGTCGAGCGATCAGTTCCTCGGTTTGTTGGCCGCTGCACGCCTTGGGTTTGCAGTCCTTCACTTTCACCAGTCCTTTTGCGCTGCGGTGTTTGGCGTTTCCTTCTCTGCGCGTTACGAGTAAGTGCGCTCGCAACTCGCACTCTCATCTGCTGACCGCGCCAGAGGCTCCTCTGCGCCGCCGGCTTAAAACATGTGTGTACTGTCAGATGATGGTCCCTGCTGGAACAGGAGCCTCCCTCGAGGTCCGACAACTCGCACACCCATAGCGCCTTCATCTCCGTGCCCTTCTCGATCCATCCTCCCTGTCGGTTCGAGCGCGTGGTTTTCTTGCGTCATCTGCGTCGATCAACCTTCCCTTCGCGCTACGGGCTGGAGCGGCCGTCCAGACAGCCGTGGGACCGCGAGTGATTCGGCCGTGCGCCTTAGCTGTGCCCGTCAATGTTCTGCAGCGCACCCTGCTGGCAGGCAGCCGTCGGACACGGTGCCACATAACGCGTCGCTTTGCCGTACCGCTGTGATGCCCCGTGTCCTTCGCATGTATCCGTGCTTCGTTGCGCGGATTTGCGCGCCGCGCTGGCTGGCGAGGGTCCAGTGTGCCTTCGGCATCAGACGAACTCTTCGGCATCTCGTGCCGCCTCCTTCCTCCGTCCGCCCTCTTCCTTCCGTCCTCCCCTTTTCCCTTCTTCCAACTCCGTCCCTCTCCTCTCTCCGTCGGTCTATCAGCAGCCCGAGGTGGCCCGCGCCCAATGGATGTTCAGCTGCGGGCTCCAAAGCGAGCTCGCGCGCTAGCAGCGCGCCGCGGCGGGCATGCGCTGGCCCCGGTGCGGGGGGTCCACCTCCCCCTCCTCCTCCGCACGCGGTCCAGACACGCGGTCCCTCCTCCTCCCTCTTCCTCCCTCCTCCTCCCTCCTCCTCCCTCCTCCTCCTCCTCCTCCTCCTCCTCTTCCTCCTCCTCCTCCACTGGACGAATGCCACTGGAGCTAGTTCTTTCCCTTGGCGACAACGGGCGTGACCGGGGGGAGGAGAGGGGCTCGGGGCCGGGTTATCGTCACGATTCGCGTCTGCGCCGTTTTGGAATGTGAGCGGCTGATTCCCGGACGGCGCCGGCGCGAATCGTGACGTGACCAGGGGGGGGGGGCGAAAGCGGTGGGTGGCGGGGCCAGTGACGGGCGTTCTCGCAAATATAAGAAAAATGGTTCCTAACTTTCCCTCGTCGCCACGGCTAGATTGGCTTCGAGGTTCTGGTCAGAACGCACCCCTGGAGAGTTCCAGGGAGTGGCGGTATTGGTACCCCTTTGCCCGCCGCTAGAGTCGCCAGCCTCTGGGAGGCCCTAGGAGGCCCCAGGAGCCCCCGTGAGGGGTCTGGAGCTCCGTCCTGTTCCCTTCCTACTCCCTCCCCCGTTCTCCCGGCTCTCTCCCCCTTCATGTTTCCTCCTCCTCCTTCTACTCCTGCTCACTCCTTCCTGCCTGTTCCCTCCTCCCGTTGCTCTTATCCTTCCCGCGTGCTGCCTCCTGCTTGTTTCTCCCCTCCTCTCTCCCTGCTCCTCCCGTCCTCCTTCCTCCTCCTGACCTGGACCGATCCCCCAGTAGTCCCTCCTCTTCATCTCCTCCTCTTCTACCCCTTCCTGCGCCTCCTCTCCCCACCTCCTCTCCCCTCTTCCCCTTTTTTCCCCTCTCTCCCTGTCCCTCTCGGGGGCGGTCTCGCAAATTTCTCCTTTCCGTCGCCGCGGCCGTTCAGGAAACGGCCGCGCCGGCGCTGCCGCTGCTCTGCCATCCCACCTCGCAGTGCTCCCACCTCCTGGCTCCTCTTTCCTCCCTCCTCGTCCTTCCCTCTCCATGCTCCCTCCTCTGGGTATGTTGGAATCCCTCTGGATCTGTCCCGAAAACCTCATAGATTTCGAAGGCTGGGGGCAGGGATATGCAGTAGGGGGCGGGGGGGGCAGTGGGATGATATTGAGGGTGGGGCCCCATGGGGCAAATCCCCACTGGTTTGTTACAACATACTCATCCCTCCTCCCTCCTCCCTCCCTCCTCCCTCCTGGGAGCGCCTCGGACGTGCTCAGAGGTCGTCGCCCCGTTGCACCAAAAATCCGCCTGGATGCGCGCAGGCCGCGGAGGCGGCGGAGGTGGCCGTGGGAGACGAGGTGCAAGCGGCGCCCGTGCCTGCGGAGCAGCCCCCGAGGGGGGGGCGAAGATCGGGCCGGACGAAAGGGGGGGATTGGGAAAGGGGGGGTTACTAAAACGACGCGAAGATGGGGACAAAATCGGATCGGGATAACTCGAAAGCTCTGAGAATCGGCGGGTTTGGAGGATGTATTGGGCGCCGCGGCCGCTCCAGAGCGTTCTGGAACGCTCTGAGAGCGCTCCGGAACGCTCTGGAGCGATTTATCCCGATCCTAGCCTCGGGAAAAGCAGCTACGTAAGCTGATTCTCCCCCCCCCCCTTTGCTATCCCCCCCCTGTCGCCCAGCCCGAGAAGAGGACATAGGGGAGGATGAGACGGTTGAGGGAAACAATCAGTAAACACCCCCCCTGCCCCCCAAACTCAAAGTCGGCACTCGCGGGGGAGAGACTGCGGTCGAGGTGCAGCTCATCAGGCCCACCGCCAGCTCTGAACATTGGGGGGAGGGGGTTCGCTATTTTTTCCGAGGCCTGGAGGGAGGGGGAGGATCAGATCAGACACTTATCGGGGCAAACACCTGGCTTCAGGAACAAGAGACAACCCCAGGGCCGACACAGCTGCCGCGAGATTCGGTTCACGGGCCCGCCTTGACCTGCAAATTCGAGCAGTCGAGCAGCCGAGCCGGCGAGACTATCACCGACTCGAGAATTCAGAAAATTGCGGATCGTCTCACGCTCACGCCTGGCTCGCTTGCTGGGGGGAGCGTGGGAGGAGGAGGAGGAGGAGGAGGAGGAGGAGGAGGAGGAGGAGGAGGAGGAGGAGGAGGGGAGGCCTCATGACGACGACGACAGGAGGAATCCGCAGCCTAACAGGCAGCAGAAAGGCCGTCCTCACGGGGGACGATGGAGACGACGCGGACGGACGCACCCGCCTAGAAGTCGAAGACGTAGAGGCAATGTGACTCGCCCTGCGTGCACTCTGAGATGTAGTATATCTAGTGGCCTTCGTCCCATCCCGCCATCGTGCCTGGGTTGTGGGGATGAAGTCTATTGGATGCTCGTTGGGATCTCGTGGGAGGCTTCTCGGGGGCCTCTGGGAGGCAGTTTGGACCCCTCTTCGTGGCCGTTTGGGTGCCTGTTGGGGTCTCTTTTGGGCCTCTTTTGGGCCTCTTGGGGGCCTCTTGGGGCCTCTTGGGGCCCTCTCGGGGACCTCTTGGGCCTCCTGGGCGCCTCTTGGGGCCTCCTGGGGGCCTCTTGGGGCAGGGGGCTCGGATTTTAGGTTCGTGTTCCCTCTTTTGGACCGTCTTGGGGCCCTTTGGGCCGTTTTGGGCGCCTCTTGGGCTTTCTCGGGGCCCTCTTGGGCCGTTTTGGGGTCTTCTTGGAGGCCTCTTGGGCCCTCCTTGGGCAGTCTTGGGGACCTCTAGGGCCGTCTGGGAGCGTCGGGAAGCCGAAAAGGCGAGAATGCCAACATCCTTCAAAAACCTGAGACAATTTAATGATTTTGGCCTTCTGGGGCCCTCTTGGGAGGCCTCTTGGAGCGCTCTTGGGTCGTCTTGGAGGCCTCTCGGGCCGTCTTGAGAGCATCTTGGGCATTCTGGGGCGATCTCTGGACCGTCTTGGCGGCCTCTTGGGGCCCTGTTGGCCAGTCTTGGGGCCCTCGTGGGCCCGAAGAAGTCACGCGACAGGCCGCGACAAGCCCCAGGGGGCACGCGGCAAGCCCCGAGGAGACCCCAGGACTGCGGCTCTGGGGAGGAGGCGAAGGGCCTGAGGACACGCCCACTCCGCGCCCAGCGGCACGGTGGCGGGTGCAATCGATGACCCTCCCCTGGCACCCGGCGAGGGTGTAGATGCAGTCGAGGACGCTCCGCGGGCATTCCGAAGAGCAGCGGAGGCGGCCCGTGCCGCCGCTCCCCCTGGCCCTCGGAGAGGCAGACAAGACGGCCCCGCGGGCGAACGCCGCGGCGCTGCACCCGTCACCAGCGGTGGGGCTCTGCCCTCGTTGGTCCCAGGCGGTGGGTCCGCTTGCGCCGGGCGCGGGGGGCCAGCGGCCGCCCGCGCAGCGGGCCGACGATCCGAGCGCGTCGGCGCGGCGCTGTGTCGGCATCGGGCCGGCGTTCCGTCCACTGGCGGGCTCCGCCGGGCCAGGCGTGGCTGCTGGTGCAGGCGCAGGCAAAAAAAACAGGGCGCGGGGGCACGCGCTGCCCCGCCACGTTCGACCGCACCGCAGGAGTGACCCTTCGCCAGGGTGACCCTGGGTGCGGGCCCAGTGGGATCCCCGGGTCGCTGCGTACGATCTGGCAGCAGCGGCTCGCCCGCTCGGATCTTTGGCCCCTCCGCGCGCCCCCCCCCAGGAAGCCGCGCACCAGAGGTCACTCTTGCCTGGGGTTGCGTCGGGCATGCCCCTCTACAGGAGGAATATTCAAAAATTGTCAAAAGATAGTCCGGGGACGAATCGTTTTGGGCTGTTCTAACTATTCTTGAGGATCGTTTGAGCTTTTTGTTCCCAACCCTCCTTGGTTGGGTATTCGTTTTGAATAGAGCAGTGTGGTCTCCACTCCTTCCTCCTCCTCCCTCCCTCCCTGCCTCCTCCTGTCTTGCCTGCGGGGGGCTGCGGTCTGTGAAACTGTCGCCATTTTCGAGGCCTGCTGGGGGGCCCAGCACAGTGAGGGCGACGCGCGGTTCAAATTAGACCTCGCCATCCCTGCTGCGCCATTTTCGAGGCCTGCTGGGGGGCCCAGCACAGTGAGGGCACGCGCGGATTCAAATTAGACCTCGCCATCCCTGGGGGGCTGCGATCTGTGAAACTGTCGCCATTTTCGAGGCCTGCTGGGGGGCCCAGCACAGTGAGGGCGACGCGCGGATTCAAATTAGACCTCGCCATCCCCTGGGGGGCTGCGATCTGTGAAACTGTCGCCACTTTCGAGGCCTGCTGGGGGGCCCAGCACAGTGAGGGCCACGCGCGGATTCAAATTAGACCTCGCCATCCCTGGGGGGCTGCGATCTGTGAAACTGTCGCCACTTTCGAGGCCTGCTGGGGGGCCCAGCACAGTGACGCCACGCGCGGATTCAAATTAGACCTCGCCATCCCTGGGGGGCTGCGATCTGTGAAACTGTCGCCACTTTCGAGGCCTGCTGGGGGGCCCAGCACAGTGACGCCACGCGCGGACCCAAATTAGACCTCGCCATCCCTGGGGGGCTGCGATCTGTGAAACTGTCGCCACTTTCGAGGCCTGCTGGGGGGCCCAGCACAGTGACGCCACGGGCGGATTCAAATTAGACCTCGCCATCCCTGGGGGGCTGCGATCTGTGAAACTGTCGCCACTTTCGAGGCCTGCTGGGGGGCCCAGCACAGTGACGCCACGGGCGGATTCAAATTAGACCTCGCCATCCCTGGGGGGCTGCGATCTGTGAAACTGTCGCCACTTTCGAGGCCTGCTGGGGGGCCCAGCACAGTGACGCCACGGGCGGACCCAAATTAGACCTCGCCATCCCTGGGGGGCTGCGATCTGTGAAACTGTCGCCACTTTCGAGGCCTGCTGGGGGGCCCAGCACAGTGACGCCACCGCGGATTCAAATTAGACCTCGCCATCCCTGGGGGGCTGCGATCTGTGAAACTGTCGCCACTTTCGAGGCCTGCTGGGGGGCCCAGCACAGTGACGCCACGGGCGGATTCAAATTAGACCTCGCCATCCCTGGGGGGCTGCGATCTGTGAAACTGTCGCCACTTTCGAGGCCTGCTGGGGGGCCCAGCACAGTGACGCCACGGCGGATTCAAATTAGACCTCGCCATCCCTGGGGGGCTGCGATCTGTGAAACTGTCGCCACTTTCGAGGCCTGCTGGGGGGCCCAGCACAGTGACGCCACGGGCGGATTCAAATTAGACCTCGCCATCCCTGGGGGGCTGCGATCTGTGAAACTGTCGCCACTTTCGAGGCCTGCTGGGGGGCCCAGCACAGTGACGCCACGCGCGGATTCAAATTAGACCTCGCCATCCCTGGGGGGCTGCGATCTGTGAAACTGTCGCCACTTTCGAGGCCTGCTGGGGGGCCCAGCACAGTGACGCCACGGGCGGATTCAAATTAGACCTCGCCATCCCTGGGGGGCTGCAATCTGTGAAACTGTCGCCACTTTCGAGGCCTGCTGGGGGGCCCAGCACAGTGACGCCACGGGCGGACCCAAATTAGACCTTGCCATCCCTGGGGGGCTGCGATCCGTGAAACTGTCGCCACTTGCAAGGCCTGCTGGGGGGCCCAGCACAGTGAGGACGCCACGGGCGGACCCAAATTAGACCTCGCCATCTCTGGGGGGCTGCGATCTGAGATCCCCGCTTTCGAAGTGGCTAGAGTTGCTCAGGGGTTGTAACTAATCATCTTTATCTAGTCCTTGTCCTGTAGCCAGTGTCCTGCGAGTCTCCCGAATTCCGTCTGCAGACATATGTAACCCTCGCTCCGTCATCGCCCTCCTTCTAAAGTGTTCTAAACTATTTGCGCCCCGCGTTTGCGCAGGGGTTGGGTACGTCGCCAGGGTAATTTTTCGTCCAAGATCCGCCTGTAGGAGCACACGCCCGACCTAAGCCTGGGGTCGCTCCTGCGTGCAGCCTCCGCGTGCGCCAGAAGCCCGAGGTGGGCTCACGATCCAGGCCCCGGCCCTGGCGGTAGCTCCCCGGACGCCACAGCTCCTGGCCGCGCGGGGGGTAGCGGGGGGCGCAGGCGCCGCAGCTGCGGGCAGCGCGCGCGGGGCGTCGCGTGCTCGAAGTGGTCGTGCCGGGCCTGGGCTTCCTTGACGAGGGAGGCCGCCGCGCCTGCGACGGGGCGGAGCTCGGGGCCCAGACGTGCGCGCGCCGTGGACACAATCGCGATGGACTGTGATGATAATGATGATGATGCTGCTGCTGCTGATGATGATGAGGATGTCGAGGATGACGATGATGATGCTGATGATGATGCTGATGACGAGGATAATGCCGCTGCTGATGATGATGAGGATACTGATGAAACTGACGATGATGATGAGGATGGGGATGATGATGCTGATGATGATTATGATGATGAGGATGGTGGTGATGATGATGATTCTGCTGATGCTGATGATGATGACGATGCTGATGATAATAACGATTATGCTGCTGCTGATGATGGTGATGATGATGATGGTGACGAGGATGATGATGATAATGATGATGGTGAGGATGACGATGATGATGATGGTGGTGATGAGGATTATGAGGATGATGAGGATGATGAGGATGATGATGATGGTGATGATTATGATTATGATGCTGATACTGATGCTGATGCTGATGATGATGCTGATGCTGCTGAATATGATAAAGCTGCTGCTGATGATTTTGATGACGAGGATGATGATGCTGATGATGATGATGCTGATGATGACGTCGATTATGATGATAGTGATGCTGACGATGATGATGATGACGATGATGACGATGCTGATGCTGATGATGACGATGATAATGATGATGATGATGATGATGATGATGATGATGATGACGATGATGATGATACTGATGTTGATGATGTTGATGATGCTGATGCTCCTGATGCTGATGATGCTGCTGATGATGATGGTGGTTGTGATGATGATGCTGATGCTGATGCTGATGCTGATGATGCTGTTGCTGATGATGATGATAACGCTGACGATGACGATGACGATGATGATGATGATGCTGATGATGATGATGATGACGATGATGATGATACTGATGTTGATGATGTTGATGATGCTGATGCTCCTGATGCTGATGATGCTGCTGATGATGATGGTGGTTGTGATGATGATGCTGATGCTGATGCTGATGATGCTGTTGCTGATGATGATGATAACGCTGACGATGACGATGACGATGATGATGATGATGATGATGATGATGATGATGATGATGCTGATGATGATGATGATGATGATGCTGGTGATGATGATGATGATGCTCATGATGATGATGATGATGATGATGATGGTGGTGGTGGTGATGATGATGATGCTGCTGATGATGCTGATGATGATAATGATGATGCTGATGATGCTGATGATGATGTGATGATGGTGGTGGTGGTGGTGGCGTTGCCGATGACGATGATGATGATGATGCTGCTGCTGATGATGATGCTGATGATGATGATGATGATGATGATGATGATGATGATGATGATGATGATGATGCTGCTGCTGCTGATGATGATGATGCTGCTGATGATGATGATGCTGATGATGATGATGCTGCTGATGATGATGATGATGTTGATGATGCTGATGCTGCTGCTGCTGCTGATGATGATAATAATGCTAATCATAATAATAATAATGATGATGATGATGATGGTGGTGGTGGTGGTGATGATGCTGATGATGATGCTGATGATGACGACGACGATGATGGCAATGATGATGACGATGATGATGATGCTGATGATGATGATGACGACGATGATGATGATGATGATGATGATGATGATGATGATGATGATGATGAGGAGGAGGAGGATGATGCTGATGATGATGATGCTGATGCTGCTGCTGCTGCTGATGGTGATGATGATGATGATGGTGGTGGTGGTGGTGATGATGTTGATCTTCTGCTCGTTCGTCTCCGAGACCGCATCGCAACGATGGGGACATTTGAAGCACGCGTGTGATGCATGAAAACGCGGCAACGACAGCCTCCGAGTGGGGCTGCAGCAGGTCAGCGCTGCGCACGAGCGCGCAGCTCGAGGCAAGGTCAGAAACCATGTTACCATGTTTGCGATGCTGAGCCTGGGCCTGCGTGAAAGCCTTCTCTGGAGTGGGCAATCATTGCCCCCCCTGGATCCGCTAAGGGGGTTGGACACGTGCTGTCGGAACGGGTAGAGGGGGGGTTGGAGGAACAGGAGGAGAAGGAGGAGGGGGCGGAGGAGGAGGTGCTGTCGGAACGGGTAGAGGGGGGGTTGGAGGAACAGGAGGAGAAGGAGGAGGGGGCGGAGGAGGAGGAGGAGGAGGAGGAGGAGGAGGAGGAGGAGGAGGAGGAGGAGGAGGAGGAGGGAGGAGGAGGAGGAGGAGGAGGAGAGGGGGGAGGAGGAGGTGGGGAGGAGGAGGAGGAGGAGGAGGAGGAGGAGGGGAGAGGAGGAGGAGGCGGAGTCGGAGGAGGAGGAGGATGAGGAGGAGGAGGAGGAGGAGGAGGAGGAGAGGAGGAGGAGGAGGAGGTGGAGGACGTGTGGGGGGGATGGGCAAGCTCCGTCGGAAGGTTAGTCGCCCACCCCTCCATTAATCTCCCACCCTTTCTTACTGGTCCCTGGTCACTTTCTTACTGATAACGAAAATTGGGCCCCGACACTCGAAGACGGAGCAAGGCATTCACCAAACATTTTCGGATGTCTGGGCAGGTTTCTTGGATCGGCGCTTGG